GGATTTTTCCTAGCCTGGACAAGGTTATCCACCCTGGAGAAGATTTCTTTTTCCAGAGAAGGTTTCCTACCCTGGAGAAGGTTTCCCACTCTGGACAAGGTTTCCCATCCTGGAGAAAGTTTTCCACCCCAGAGAAGGTTTCTTACCCTGGAGAAGGTTTCCCATTCTGAAGATTTCCCACCCTGGAGGTTTCCCATCCTGGACAAGGCTTCCCACCCTGCACCAGGTTTCTCATCCTGGAGGTGGTTCCCCACCCCAGAGAAGGTTTCCCATGCTGGAGAAGATATCCCATGCTGAAGGTTTCCCACCCCAGAGAAGGTTTCCCAGCTTGGACAAGGATTTATTGTCCAGAGAAGGTTTCCCAGCCTGGAAAACATTTCCAACCCCAGAGAAGGTTTCACATCCTGGAGAAGGCTTCCCTTCCTGGACAAGGTTTCTCATCCTGGAGGCGGTATCCCATCCCAGGTTTCCCAACCTAGAGAAGGTTTCCCACCCTGCACAAGGTTTCCCATCCTAGACAAGGTTTCTTGTCCTGGAGAAGGTTTCCCACCCTGGAGAACATTTCCCACTCTGGACAAGGTTTCCTACCCTGGAGAATACTCCCCACCCCAGAGAAGGTTTCCCATCCTGCACAAGGTTTTCCCATCCTGGAGAACATTCCACCCCCCCAGAGAAGGTTTCCTTGTCCAGAGCAGCTTTCCCTGCCCAGTTCCCCCACCTCAGCAGCCTTTGCCCACCCCACCCCTGCACTCACCGGCCGCCCCGGGGGTCCCGGCAGCCCCGGTGGTCCTGGCTTCACTCGCCCCTGGTGTCCCCGTGCCACCTGTGATCCGGGGTGTCCTGCTCCAAGGGGATGCTCCGGGACACCCACTGCTGTCCCTGTCCTCAGGGGACCCCTGGGGAGGCTTCCTTTGGGATCAGCCCCCCGAGCAGCGGACGGGGATGATTTGGGGAAGGGCTCCAGGCGGGGTTTGCCAGGCGGGAGCCGCCGCCGTGCGCCCGTGTGCCCCGACAGCTTCTGGGTGGTGAYGTTCTCCTGGCGGGGGTCAGAGCCACGCTCCTTCTTGGCCACTCTGGGGGGTTTGAGGGAGGCTCCTGGTGGGTAAAGCACTGTCAGATTCCTGGGATTTGGGATGGAGAAAAGGAGGAAAATCATGGGCTCACCGGAGCTTCTCCTGAGCGCCGGCCTGCCGGGCCCGGTGATTTTGTTGTAGGTGGAGTTCAGCAGCTCAAAGCCTTCATCCTCCATGGAAAGGCTGCCCTCCTCCTCCTCCTCCTCCTSCTGCTGCTCAGCTGATGRCATCTCCTGAGCCGAGAGGGAAGCCAGGGCACTCCCATCGGGCTGCAGGCTGAGGGTCCCCTGAGCATCCTCCCATGGCCAAGATGGCCCCAAGGCCAAATCTGAGCTGGCGAGCCTGGAGTCCTGGAAAAAGGGGAAGGAGAAATAAATTTTAAATAAATTTGAAGGYTTCACTTATTTTTGCCTCTTTCCTGCTCCACAGACTTCTAAGGGAGCATTCAGGGAGGAACTTCTGAGGGTTGGGAAGGGGCGAAGGGCACAAGGCCAGGAGGAGCCTCCTGGATGCTTCCAGCAATTTCACTGGAGGCAGTGGCTTGCAAGGGGCTCTCTGTGTCCCCAGCTGCCCCCTGAACAGTCCCTGCAGCTCTCACGGGCTCTGTCAGCCCCACAGCCCCCAGCAGAGCCCAGGCAGTGCCCACGCAGGAGAAAAACCTCCACTCAACCCAAAAACACCGAGTGTGGAAAGGAGCTGAATTCCACAATTCCCTGCACTCCAAAATCCCATTCCAAAATCCCACCACTTTCACAGCAGCACCAGTGACAGCACCCCAGACTGGGCTTGCCCAGGGAGCCGGGGGCACACATGGGGTGGCCATGGTGGCTCTCCTGGGGCAGCTGCAGCCTTTCCATGGAGCCCAGTCCATGGGGCATGGACAGCACGTGGCACTGGGAACTGGTGACACCAGCTGTGACTGGAACCCTCTCCGTGCTCCCTCCAGGTCCTGTGGGACACGGACAGCGTGTGGCACCTGGAGCTAAGGTGACACCACCCGTGATTGGAGCTCGCTCCCTGGGGACACGGACATTGTGGAGCACCTGGAGCTGGTGGCACCAGCCCTGCCTGTCCCCACAGACAGTGTGTGGCAGCCCCTGCTGTCACTGAGGAGGTGGGAAGGGCTGGAGCTCTCCCAGGGAGGAGATTTTGTGATTTTGGGGCCCTCCTTGGTGCAGCTCTCGGGATCTGGTGCTGGCAGAGGGGTGGCTGCTCCCCAGTCCCATTGGTGCTCCTGGTGCTGAGCTCCCTGCTGGAGCTGCTGTCCCTCAGCTGGAGCTTGGAGTTCCTTCAGGGATTTTTTTTCTTTTTTTTTTTTTGAGGGATAAATTGTCATTTCTGAGCAATCTTTGGGGCATGGATGACATCGAGCCACTTCTCCTTCAGTTTGTCTTCCCTTTGACTGCCTGTCCTACATGTGAGCAGGAGGGCTGAGCTAATTCCTAAACTCAGGCTTTTCCTAATCTGGGATCCTAAAGGTCTGTGCACGTGCTGGGGCCATGAAGGAGCGCTCTGAGCCAGGCTGGCTTTGTGTTCCTGCTTTATTTGGGATTTT